CCAATCCTTGCACCATAGCCACTATCGTTCTCTGTAAAAATCCACGGCATCAGGTTTTCAGTGAAAGTTTATTAACAGAAAGCAGTTACATGCAATGTAATAGTCACAGTAAAGTGTATAGTAGTGATTGATTAAAGAATTAATTGTAACACATAAAAATAACTGAGCCATAAATAGCATACTGAAAATAAATTCGATGATATGGAAATAAACCCATTCACATTTATCCTTCTGTGAAAGCAATATGTAGGTGAATCATACACCCCCACCCACCACAAACCTCCATCAAACTAAAATTTCCCAATGAGTCAGTCTAAATCCAGGCCATTCCTTTTCAGATTTAAAACACCTAATCCCATACATTTTTTTTTTCTATGGAGCAAGAAATGACATCAGATTTTAACAAGATACAGAACACAGAACCTAAATGGCACATATAACAGCAAAGGTACAATTGCTTCTTTGCTCCACTGTAGAATGCATTTTAAATAAACAAAGATGCCTTAATAAAATTACAGTGTGGTCACCTTATATTATCCAAGTGCATTATTCAAACAACCAGAAGTGGAAATATGAGGGGAAAAAAACAATAAAATAAATAAAAGAAAGATAACTTTAAATACAGGGATTTATTGCACCAACAGCTTGGCATGACCCTCTTTTCCTGCAGACGCACCTTCATTTGATTATTTTATTATTCTGCTCTATACCCTCTACTTATAACATAAGGAAATTTTTTTTTTTTTTAAATTAGCTCAATCACTTTGTTATATTTCCAGACCACTTTTCGATAGGCTCTAGGTGTAACGACCTGCAGTTTTACTAAGTATACAGATCTGAGTGAATCTAATTATTAAAGACAAGTACCGGTAATCAACCTACTCTTCTTCTCATCTTTTTAAAGGCCACTCTCTATATTATCTCTGGTGTATTTGGTGGCTATATTAAAGGCTTCCTACCTCTGAGTCAAACCAGGAGTCATTTTACAGAGAGCTACCTACAACTAGTAAACTAGAACACAAGCACACGGGAGATATACTTTTCTCTACAGTCAATGTGTATTACTCAAAATTCCCAGTTAAGGCGTTACTGGGCGTGTAACATCACCACCTTAAATTGCATACCGACATGATGTCACCTATGTGAGTACCTGCATTGTTACTTTAGTTTGAATTTAATATACGTTAGGAAAAAAATCTTAGCTGACATTTCTTTAAAAAAAAAATCACGTCTATAATTTAAATGACAATAGATTTAAAACATTCCTTGGTCATATTTTACTATATTTTGCGTGTCAGTCTTTGATGTGGGCACTATTATGCAAATGATGCGTCAATCAAAGAAAAATTAATTAAAATTAGTAGTAACTGTTGTAGCATTTGCAAATAAAGATGTGGATGACCCTAAACTTTTGTCTAATGTAGGTATTCTGATTTATTTATTTTTTGTTAAATACTTTTTAGGCCAAACATTTCTACGATACATCTTTTGCTCATCAATCTTCCTTAGAAAGATTCAAGGGAATAGTGCTTTCCAAAAAGCAACATGCTGAAAGTGTTATTTTTTATTTTTTTTAGATGTACACTACATCATAATTTTATACACAAATATGTATGAAATTTCTTCTAATTGATATGCATAAATATTTTGATCTCATATTGTTTACATGTAAACGCTATATTTCAGTTCCAAATTTCTTCAATCAATTTTGTCTGTTGTCCAAAATCATTCAACTGTAGATTACACATCAATTTAAAGTGGAACAGTGACGTTTTTTTTTTACCTCATAAAAAAATTCTGTTATTTTATTTATAATGTGTCCTGTCAAATTATTACTTGCTAAATTTGTTGATTTAAAATCAAATAACTTTCTTTATTTAATCGATGATGAGTAGATTCGGATTTGTTTCTACATTCGTTTCAGTCTGAACGGCAACTAATCTCAGTTTGGGCTGACAAAGTGATCAGTTTAACTCCCGAACTCCGATTCAAAAAGCGCAATGGTTGAGCATGCATTTGTGATTCTGGATTCTGCCCATGGCACATGTGACGATAGTCAACATCACTGGGAGCAGAAGGACACTTTACAAAGGTTTCTAAATTGTTCATAGGTCTAAGTCACCCTGTACTCATTATAGCCCTGTGTTTATAATGTGTTGGTATATTTTTTATTGTTTTGTGTGCTCTCCTGTCCTGCTGATGTTTGTTACCAACTAGGGGATTTGGCAATGGAGCCTGTAAAGCGTCCTCTGTTGGTAGCAACAGCAATATGACTACCTGAATATAGAGATATTTGTGTTGGTTATTGACTTCCCCACCCCTTTGTAGATATGCTATTGTGTTATTATAATTCCCTGTATGTTGTCTGATATGATTTGATTATTTGTATTTTTATTGAATTGTCACCATAAGTTACATGTAAGGAGCATTTGGGCCAGTCCAAAGAAAAAATAAAGTTTTGTATGTTAGTTCCATTTGGAACAGTGTCTTGTGTGGATTTTTAGGGATCCACAGAGTTGTTGTACCTGTTGGCTGGCTGCATGATCCCTTTAGCCCTGGGATAAATCAAGAGAGCTAGACCTGAGAGCTGCAAGTGCCTTTGTAAAGGCAATAGAAATCACATTGCAGGCAGAGGTAGATACCTGCCTGGAAAAAGGGCTGCAGCAGAATAGGTAGAGGAGATGATACCTGCCTAGAGGAGAGCTGCAGCCTGGCTGGGTAAAAAAAGCTCCAGAATCACCCCAGTCAAGCCACGGCGACTGTGGCAGAAGAGCGGCAGTTATCCCTGGTTCCAGCTAGAAAGCGATCCTGGGTGGAGCTACCCAGTCGTGGTACGGGAAGCTCCGCTACAGCGCAAATTATTTTTTTCAAAGATTTAAATGACTGAAGGGAAATAAAAACCATTGATGGCTAGGGGCAGTCACTAAATGTTGATTTTATTCACAGATCAAATGAGAAATGAGCAATCTATGGAAAAAGAGAGGCAGCAAAAAAAAAAAAAAATGTGTTCTGAAGCCAACACAAATCACTCCCTGTGTTATTTCTAATTAGAATACATGCAGAAAATCTATACTTTTGCCATATGTGCCCACATTGGCAATAGACCTTATATTAAAAAACATCACAATGATTAGCTTTGCTTAAGAACAGATGAAAGAGGGTGAAACATTCACGTAATTCACTTATAAGTGTGAAATCTCCAATTTAAATTATTTTAATTTTGGCTATATTGACCTAAAATGTTATTTGAATTTATTTGAATTCCTGACAATTCATAATTTAGAGGATAGTGCTTTATGCATTTAATCAGTAGTTTGTATAATTATAAAACATAAAGCTTAAGAGGGAGTATCAAAGTCATTCGTTGTAGACTTTAGACTGCTGCATTTTAAACCAGTCCACAAGGAATGCCTACCAGTCCAGGATTTAGGGATTATCCGGTTGTGTCTAAGCGGTTTTTAGAAAGAAAAAAACAACAACAAAAAAAACAAACACCTTGACACAACTAGGACATTGCTAAATCCTGTACTGGTAGACATGCCCTGAGGACTGATTTGGAAACCACTGCTTTAGACTGTAATTTTCTGTTGACCGATTCAGCATTCTATCATTGGCAGTATTATACTTGTTGACATCTGTGTTGCAAAGTTAGGCTTCTTGCGGCACAAATGGATAAAATGCGGCAGAGTGTGGCCTTGTCTATAGTGGCTGAAGCAATGGCTGTATAAAATCTCAGTGTTCTATTCAGGATAAATTACTGCCATGGCTTCATTTAACATTAAGTAAGAGTTACTTGGTCCCTGTTGCCAAATGTAATATTTGAAGTATCATTTATATATATATATATATATATATATATTTATATAAATGTATTTACTGGCAGTCTGCTGAAATCCCTTTGAGAATGATGTTCATTGACCATGTATGAGAATATGAAGGCATTGCTACTGTAAGGTGGCACATTGATATGTTTTCTTCAAAATGATTTGCCAAGACCAATGGTAGCCAAGATCTATTTATATAGCTGTTGCTGAACTACTGTGTCATTTTTTTCATGGCTAATGGGTCTCAGAGGATCATGACACTTATTGGTTTACTGGAGTGATAAAGCTGTCTGTTGACCATTCTTGGTGTGACAATCATCAGAAATTGCAAAGATATCCATAGATTAAAAGTGGGTAACTTGAAATCCAACTCTCTCCTTCCTCTGCAGGCTATGGATATAGAATTCTTGGAGGTGGAGAATCATGGGAATTGTAGCTCAGGGCTCATAATTTCAAGTACTACGCTACTAGCCAGACCGTAATTGTTATGTGCCATTTCGAAACTGGAGAGTCAATGCTACATTCACAAAGGGTGAATGTCTACTGCCCTATGCTGAAATTTCCCTTGTAAATGGCTAGTGGCCGTGTGGAAATTTGGAACCATCTTGTAACTCACTAGATCATTAGTGGAAATGTTGAGCCATTTTGCAACCTTTGCATATTTCTATTGTGCAGTAGTTGTCCATGCTTGCTATGAGTAACACAAAAATCTCCAACATAAAATGCCCTAATTTGTAAAAGATTTCAGTGTATTATTGTACATACACTACAATTTTTGGCACGTAAAGAAAAAAAAGCTTTAAAACAGCTATTTAGTTAAAGTGATTATTACTTAACCATCTATCTTCAAGGCTTTGTAATAGGGGAAGCCATCCTCCTCTGCCTATGGATGAGCTACACTTCCCATGTCTGTCCACTAGTCAGTGGCCCTAACGTCCACTGAAGTTGTAGTACATCAACAGCTGGGGGACACATGTTGCCTACCTTTCATTACATATTTTGTGACCATGTTACATTAATTAGAATTATTTCCCCAACATTATTACATAGATCTCCCTGTTTTAAGTTGCAGATTATTTGAAATTTTCTTACAGGAAATATTTGCCAATCATCGAATGAATCCAGGAAAATACATTAGTGTAAGAATGAATACATATGATTTATTAGACACAATTTTACAAAATAAGTATATTAACACAAAAAAAATGTGGGGAGTGTATTTTTATTAATGTACCATTATCAAAATGTACATTTCCAAATACCTATCCCTTGTATTGACCATATAAAAAATATATTTTAATAAATATAGAATAAACCGGCTCTGCCGTTAATTTTACCCATAAACCTATAATTTGTCATGCAGTCTAATACTGGCTCTGCCGTTGACTTTACTTGTCACTAAAGAACTTATTTTATACAGTTTAAATACCGGCTCTGCCGCTACCTTTATCAATGCAACTAGAACAGTCACACAGTCTAATCTTGGCTCTGCCATTAATACTATCTATACCTTAGAACTGAGTTTTCCGACACTGATTATACCTGTAGCATTAGAACAGCTATTAAACAGTCCTTTCCATTTCTAGAAGTGAATTAGCTTCCAGCCTTATACGGAGGTCATGCAACTAACTGGAAACCCTCATATGAAAGCACTTGTGATTTCTTATAGGGGAAGTGATAGAAACCCTTACAGAGTAAGTGATAACATGCCATACAAACAAAGTGTATATAATCCTCTAAAAGGGATCTATAAAAGTGTAAAACCTGGCAATTCAATCATGATCTAGTAACACTCATTGTGATAACATCCTCTCCATGTTCATTTTAAAGAGTCAATAGGGTGGGGGAATCAAGGGACCCATTACTCTGTTCCCCACTACTATTGCTACTGCTGCTGCTAAGCCTGCGATGAGCGGTTGAACAGGATTCTTGTGGTCCAGGATACGTGAAAACTAATGTTGGAGTGAAGGGGGTGACAGATGGTGTCTTCATCAAAGTTGGTGTGTGAAGTGCTTCAGGTTCCAAAAGAGTTTCACTCAGCTCTATCCTAGGCAGGTTGACTTTTGGACCCCGGGCTAGTTCTTCATGTGGTTCTTCTTTAACAGTCCTAGGAGATGCCACTTTCCGTTCATAGTGGTCAGAATGTTGAATCTTACAGATAGGTTGATGGGCATCAAGAATTAGTTCTAGCTTGTCTTTCTGTTTCTGGAGCTCGGCAATCTCTTTCTGTAGAGATGACTTTTCCTCTTCAAGTTTATCTGTTTCCTGTGAATGTGAAAAGGAAGTAAAACGTTACTCTCTCATTTGAACTTTCCTTACCTTGATTTCTGTTGTCAACACTATTCTACACCACCATACTCTTGGTCAACATAAACTTTTGTCTTCAAACACGGCCTTTAATCAATATATTCCTCACAGAAATATCTCTCTTCCATCATTTTGGCATTTTCTACTCCTTCCTCAAGCTCCCAGTCTGAGCTTCCAGTTGTTACCTACTAGACTCTATTTTGTTTTACTTGTCCGTTTAACTTACCGCCTGCAGATAGTCTGTCAGTTCCTTCCGACGATTCCGACACTTTGCAGCAGCAATCTTATTCCTTTCTCTACGCACTCTTCTTCTTTCCTCTTCTTCATGTGATATCTGTGATAAATGTTATTATAAGTTTAGTAAAGAAATATATCTTATGGTAGATTTTATTTTAAAAATTTTATTGTGCACCTGTTAACTTTAGTATACTATGGCAATATGTGAGATAAAATACAGCACTATATTTCTGAACCCTGTATAAAGTTCATGGTGCCATATTGTGCATGTGTCAGAGGGTGCAAGGAGAGAACACTGCCTTGTGCATGAATGGAGGGATTGGCAGTTTATATGATCCTATGACTCAGCCGTTAATGTTTGTCCCACACTCCAAGCTGTGGTTTGGCACTCAAACCTGGTCTCCTGCCTGCTCTCTTTTCCCTCCTGACTCACTGTACTTTGTCTATGAGTCGCTCATCAACCGTTTCCGTGATATTTGTAACAATCCTGACCTCAGGCAGACATAATTTGAAATAAATCAATCTCACAATGCACAATCATGCTTGAGACACAACCTGAATCCTATTCGCCTAAAGCCCCTCTCCTTTATCCTATTACATTATCAATACACCCGCCATGATCAATAAATACTGATTTTCAGATGAGATGCACTCACATGTTCACCATGTCTCCTTCGGCTCATATTCAAGGCTCCTGGCATACTCCTGATAACTCCATGTCGAGGACTGTGATAGGGAGGTAAGGCTAGGTTTCGCACACTTGGCTGGATCATCCAGTTTAGATCTTGACTTGATGTAATCGCATTTATTGTTGGGATAAAGGGACTGGAAGAGGTATGATTTGGGTATTTCTATGAAAACGAGAATAGAATAAACATTAATCACTAGTCATTAAAGCATAGTCAATTTAATAGCACTTGGAATTTAATATGTTCTATCATGAATAAATGATCAGTCAAGGATGTCTGAATACTTGTATTCTATGTGGAATCTACACATCTACGTTTGTCTACCTATCTTTCAGAAATCCTCCAATATTTCATTAAAACAGTACAATAATCCATTTGGATTTGATATACCCCAATTATACTGTAATGTATATATGTATTATATATACTTATGTATACTTTGGTTGGATGTAGAAAATGATCTGCATGTTGATGAATAGTCTTAAAAGGTATCCCACATTTTTGAGAAGTATCCCACATTTTTGACAAATTTGCAAAGTGGCTACAGTTAGAAATAAATACAACTACTCACCCCCAAAACATCACTGTAAAAAACACTTTAACATAGAAGGACAGACAGCAAGGAGATAAACAAAAATGTGATGCTGCTAAAAGGGATAGTCTAGAAATAAGCATCGCCTAGACACTCAAGGTCTATCATCAAGCAGTTTTATTGGAACAGGAAATGCAATGTTTCGGCCTACACAGAGGCCTTTGTCATCTTGACTTCCTGTACTGGGGTTTGTCAGCCCCAGGTCTAGAGCACTTAGGTCTTTATATAAGAGTGTGGCTTAATTTTCATGTGTAGATCATCAAAAGGGATAGTCTAAGCGCCATAAACACTACATCCTGTATTAGCTATGCGTCTGTCCTCTCATGGGCATCCGCAGGGGTGGCGCTGTGAAAAGCATGGATAGGAAGCTACAGCTTATCCCTGCTTCTTTCTCCTGACTGCATCTGCAGGGGAGCAGCACAGAGTGTAGCCAGCAAGCATGGGGGAGGGGGGGAAACCTACAGATCAGGTAAGTGAGGGATGGGGGGAAGACAGCCTACAGGATTGTAAAGTAGAAGGAGCAGAAACGAGCAGAAAGGTTCTGCAAGGGGCAGGAGGGGTCAGCAAGGAGCAGAAAGCAAGGAGTAGGAAGACGCAGCAAGGAGCAGGAGGGGTCAGCAAGGAGTATGAATGGTCTGCTAGGAGCAGAAAGGGTCTGCAGGGAGCAGGAAGGGGCAGCAAGAAGCAGGAAGGGGCAGCAAGGAGCAGGAAGGGTCTGCAAAGAGCAGGAGAGGTCAGCAAGGAGTAGGAAGGATCTGCAAGGAGCAGGAGGGGTCAGCAAGGGGCAGGAAGTGTCTGCAAGTAGTAGAAAGGGTCTGCAAGGTGCAGAAAGGGTCTGCAAGGAGCAGGAAGGGGTAGTAAGGAGCTGGAGGGGTCAGAAAGGAGTAGGAAGGGGCAGCAAGGAGCAGGAGGGGTCAGCAAGGAGTTGGAAGAGGCAGCAAGGAGTAGGAAGGGTCTGCAATGAGCAGGAAGGGTCAGCAAGGAGCAGGAAGGGTCTGCAATGAGCAGGAAGGGAAATCAAGGAGCAGAAAGGGTTAACAATTATCTGGAATGGGCAGAAGGAGCACAAAGGTAAAGTATGAAAAGGAACATAAATAAGTAGGAAGTGTCTGCAAGGAGTAGAAAGGGTCTGCAAGGAGCAGGAAGGGGCAGTAATGAGCAGGATGGGGCAGCAAGGAGCAGGAGGGGTCAGAAGGAGTAGGAAGGGGCAGCAGGAGCAGGAGGGGTCAGCAAGGAGTCGGAAGAGGCAGCAAGGAGTAGGAAGGGTCTTCAAGGGGCAAGAGTGGTCAGCAAGGAGTAGGAAGGGACAGCAAGGAGCAGGAGGGGTAAGCAAGGAGTCGGAAGGGTCAGCAAGGAGCAGGAAGGGTCTGCAATGAGCAGGAAAGGTCAGCAAGTAGCAGGAAGGGTCTGCAATGAGCAGGAAGGGAAATCAAGGAGCAGAAAGGGTCAACAACTATCTGGAAGGGGCAGAAGGAGCACAAAGGTAAAGTAGGAAAAGGAACATAAATAAGCAGGAAGTGGCAGCAAGGAGCAGGAAGGGTCTGCAAGAAGCAGGTAGGGGCAGCAAGGAGCAGGAAGGGTCTGCAAGAAGCAGGAAGGGGCAGCAAGGGGCAGGAAGGGCCTGCAAGGAGCAGGAAGGGTCTGCAAGAAGCAGGTAGGGGCAGCAAGGAGCAGGAAGGGTCTGCAAGGAGCAGGAAGGGATCAGAAAGAGAAAGGAGCAGAAGGGCGCAAAATAAGCAGAAAGGTAAAGGAGCAGAAGGAGCCAAGGAGGAGAGAAGACAGTGTCAGAAGAAAAAGAAGACTGTGTCAAATGGAGAAGAAAATTAGATTGGAAGAACAAGTGAAGTAATCCCTCCACTTCATTCTGGACACCACATCATAGGGCTTTGGTACCTGGGCCTGGCAGGAAGCTTTGGACCTTCTCATCTCCCCAGGTAAAAAACATATCAGTGTTATTGTGCTCAATTTGATTTACTGATTGTCAGGAAACACAGAGGGCTGCTAAGTAGGGGTGCTGCTGATTGGCTACAACGGTCAGCTGGCACTCTAAGCCAATCAGTAGCTCCCCATTCATAAAAACTTTTAAAAAATGTATGAATCGGGAACTAGTGATTGGCTTAGAGCGTCAGCTAACCACACTAGCCATTAAGCGGCACCCATGCCTGACATCAATCTGCACTTCCTGACACTCCGTTTCAGAAGCCGAATACCACTGAGTGACCTGGAGATCAGAAAATGAAGGAAGCCTTTGGGGTTAAACCATTTGAGGGTGGTTTAACCCCTTAAAGGAAAGAGAGCACCCAGGGGACTCCTGGCATCATAGCATTTTCATTTAGATGAATGTGTTATGGTGACCAGAATGTTCCTTTAATTTGCTTAAAGGAACACTATAGTGTCAGGAATACAAACATGCATTCTTGACACCATAGTTGTGAAAACACTATTCACCCTGGCTTTATGTGATAATGACTATGCTTCTCTCCTACATGACACTGTCAAAAAGGGGCCAAGCATGGATGCCATTACAATTATGCCCCCCCAACCCCCATCCCCTGGGAAAATGTCTGCGGACGCCCATGTGTCCTCTATAATAGTTTTTGAATGCTTTGACCAAAAATGAGTGTCACTGAGGCTACTGCAGCCAGGCTGCTGTTTTATATATTTCTAATGAGCATGTTCTACTTCTACATTAGCAAAATCAGGTTTACCCATATTTGGACAACACTGATAGACTGTCCCTTTATTACCTTTTGTCTCTGTTAATATTTGCTATGTAACTTACTTGTCAAATATCTCCCATTCTATAATTGTAAAGTGCTGTGGAATATGTTGGTACTATATGATTGCTAATAATAATAATGCTAATAAATAATAATAATGCTAATAATAATAATTAGTACAGCCAGACCCCCCTCACCAAGACAAACCTGTACAATTCTATTACAGTACCTAATTGCCTCCTACAACATTGTGCCTCCCTCAGCAACCACATTTCCAGTAAATCATTTAGGCTTTCTTCTTAATTCTACCCTCCTCCCCACCCAGATATTGTCAGTATCTGTCCCATAACAATCCAGTTTCTTATTCCTGTAAAATACTTCACCTCTAATATTCCAGCCTCTTATGAAAGTAAAATTGAAAGTGTAATAGTTGTTGTAGCCAAACTCTCTAACCAGACTAAAGCCTCCTGGCATGTCACACTGAACTCCTCATCACAGTTAATATATATATACATACACACACACACACACACACACACAAACACAGTGAGAGAGATTGTCATTAAAAAAATGAAAAAAATATTGTAGTGTTGTACAGCCTCGGTGCTCAGTGGTATAAGTTTAACCAGGTACCTGCAAGATGTACATGAAGGACCTTTCTTGATATATGTACATATAATATTATGATAAATAATATAAAATAATGCACAATATAAAAATGTTCTGGATCAAAATATAATTGTATTTTACACGCAACAGCATGTTCAGAGCTGTGATTGGCTACTTTGAGAGGTTAATCACAAAATAGTTAAATTGACACTACAGGCACCCAGACCACTTCATCTCATTGAAGTGGTCTGGATGCAGTGTCCCTGTCCCCTTAAAGGAACACTTTAGTGTTGGAAAAACAAAAATGTATTTCCAACACTATAGTGGCCCCACACTTCTGTCCATGAAAGGGTTAAAAGAAACCCTTTTTTTTCACTTACCTGATTGGCACTCCTCTACCACCATCAGCTGATTTGAGGAACCTGATGCGCATGCCCGTTGAGCGCTGTATGCTCATTAGGACTTCCCCATTGGAAAGCATTGACCCAATTTTTTCTCTGGGGTTTTGCTTGATGCTCGATGTTCTTATGCAAAGCGTGACGATGACCAGCGTCATTGTTCTACGGAGTCAAACTCCGTGAATCAGCAGGAAGCACCTCTAGCAGCTGTCTGATAGCAACTAGGAGCGGTCTTAACACTACAATGTAAACATTGCAGTGACTCTAGAAATGCAATGTTTCAGCTGCAGCGTTAAGAGGACAGAGAAAGTGCACCTACACCACTTCAATGAGATGAAGTGGTCTGGGTGCCAGTATTGTCCCTTTAACTCTGCAATGTAAAACAGTGTTGTTTTAGAGAAATTGCAATGTTTATATTGCAGTGTTAATACTGCTATAAGTGGCTTTCTACCAGACAGTCACTAGTGGCATTTCCTGCAGTTTCATGGAGTTTAACCCTTTGAAACAACACTGGACATCCTCACGTTTTGTATGAGTATGTCCAGCATCTTTTCATCACAGGAAAGGTTGCGTATTAGATTCCCTCTCATGCTGAATCGCGTAAGTAGATAAAGGATTTTAACCCTTTGAGTGCCACAGTGGGGTCGCAGGGGTAGAGAGACAGTATAGTGTTAGGAATACAGCTTTTTATTCCTAACTCTATAGTGTTCCTTTATCAGTAAATTGGCAAATACCTTGCAAAATACAGGCCGACATTGCAGGGTTAAAGGGACACTCCAGATGCCAAAACAACTTTATCTAAAATACGTTTTTATGGTGCAAGGAGGCCCCCAGAGGCACTTTTACCCCATAGGGTTAAACCAATCTTGAACGGTTTAACTCTAAAGTTGCTTCCAACAGTGATGTCCACTCTACTCCAGACGGAAGACGGCATCCGGCTTCAGCAATTTCAGATTCAGGAATTGGGACGTGCAGACGGGCTGGAGTACCACTGCTTGGCTGAGAGTGGTCAGCTCTCAGCGGCATCCCTGTCCGGCGGCACTCTGCACTTCCTGAAACTGAAATTGCTGAAGCCAGGTGGGGCCTAGGGGGAGTGGACATAGCCCTGATCTGCCCCCTTGACACTCTCAAGCAATCCAATGCTTTTCTATGGGAAAGCCTTGTGATTGGCTTTGAATAACACTTCTGATGATGTCAGCCAACAAGGAAGAACAGGGACAGAGCCAGCACGAGCAGACTAGAACAAAGGTAAGATTCTGCTATATTCAGGGATAAGGGGGAGGGCCACAGGGGGCTAGATGGTGTTTTTAATACTATAGTATCAGTATCAGTATCATGTTTGTGTTTTTTTTTTATTATTTTTAGACAAAGCCACAGAACAATGTATAGATAACCTATATTATTATATAAAGCAATGCATTCTTTGTGATTGCAGAATGAGTCATATTAAAGAACTGTGTGTTCCCAGCATGCAAATGAGGGGTGTTACATAGGACAGTGCAGTCATTATAACTTTTTCTAATAAAAAGAAACTGAAATTAATGACTTGTAGTGAAAGTAAGTAAATGTGAATAGTTTTCAGCTGACATTCCAAATTCTTCTTAAATGGTATAACAGTAACAAGTTTGCTTTGTAATCCCACTGAACAACATTAAGATCCAGATTGTGACTTACAAATATGACAAAAACAATGAAGTGAAAAATACTAAGATCTTCTTATATAGTTGATCAATATATGTTTGTGCCATTGTGATAGATGCAGCAATGTCCAGGTCTCGAGATCCATAAAAGTTCTTGGTTTGGTTTGAAGTTGAGAGGTGATTTTGAGAACCTATGTTGTATAGCTTTCTTTTAATTTATTGATATAGCCTCTATGGGGTGCATTGTTACTGAAAGGAGGCATAGCTAGGGAATGTATAGCATCCCCCTTCAAGATGCAATACAATACCATGAAAATATCAGCTGTAAATCCATAGGAGAATTTATTCACCAAATGATGAATTGTAGTGAATTGAAAACTGCATGGCAAAATGTAGGCTATAATAGCCTAGAACTGACTATAGCATTCTTAGAGAATTTTTTTCCATATCAGTTATTTTGGCCTATATTCTGCAATTATTTAGTAAATTCACCACCACTGGCTTGCAGTTCTTGCCAAGGGGAGATTTTCCTAGCCTGTGAAGTTTAAAAAGGGAAAATTGTTCCTTCAATAGGCCATCAGAGTGCATGCATCTGCAACCTCTGTGAACAGTGCAGGAATTCACATATCTGCACATCAAACCTTCATGAAGCCATGTGTTGGCACGAACGCACTGCATAAAGTCACGTGCTGGCACACAAACCTGTCATGAAATTGAATCATTACACAACAACCTGGTGACCCATTGAGCACTTGCAAGGTTTCCTTTAAAGGCCGGCCAGGTCTGAAACTGACTCTACAGGCTACTAAAAAATAACAGAGGGCCCAGAGAGACAAAAAGACCATAAAGTATTCTGTAACCACAATCCCTCAAAATTGCACTTCGTAATTAGAAAATCATATAATTGAAAAAAAAAAAACATTTATGTTCTATTGCATTCTAGTGGTTATGTGAAATAATTAATTGTCATTTTGTTGCTACATTAACATTTCCGTAGCTTTTAAGTTATGTTTATTATGTATATTATTATTTTGAGTTTCTCTGTAATTTAAAGAGCAGCCAATTGCTTTGACTTGGTGCCAAAGATGAATCTAGCAATTACAGGGTACTTCTGCCCCTCCCTTCTCCCCCCAAATACCCGCCTAATAAGAATCAAAATAATTTAAAGAATAAATTGTTCTTTTTATCAGTGGTATTATCTATATTGATCTATATTAAACAACTTATTTCAATGTAGAAGTGCAGGGAGTGAATGATCAGCAGATATTGACCCATAAGGATATTGTTACATAAGGAGGTCAAATGTTGGAGCATTACCATATCATTGCTCTATCGGACTGTTACGGTGATTTGTTTTGCAGGTTTAATAGAAACACAATTTTCTTTAGAATTTTGTTTTTTCAGATTTCCCAATTAATACTGTCCTCGACTAGCTAACACAGTGACAGGAGTGTGAACTCTATTGAAATGGTTAATGAAGCCTTGTGTACCAGATTCCTGCCCAATGTGGGGGTTAATGTTGCAGTTCATTACTTCCCTATGGGCAGGGGAAAGATAGGGGAAAACCTGCCAGTTTTAGAATTTGTCCCCCCCACCCCCTCCCAGGGAGGCCACTGGCAGGGAGCATGTTAATTGGGTCTGGTGACGCTTTCTTTTTTTATTATACATATGTGAATAGTGTGAGTGCTCTATGACAAGATTACCAGATTGTGTGATATTTTGCCTATAAAGTGGATTTTCCTAAATGATTATAAGTAAAGTTGTATGTGACGAGTAACAGGTTAAGTTTTTTTTTTTTTTTGCTGAGTGACGCTGCATTGATAACTCTTAGGAAGTGAAGTACTTGTACAATTTGTACTACATATATGCACTGTCATCAGTGAGTCATAATGTACGTTAGCTATTACCTAAGGCTATAAGGTCACTAAGTCCTAGTAAGAGGACATTCTACTATTTCTTTATTTATGTAGGTCCCTGCAGCACTCTTTTATTTATAAATACTGTAAGGAAAGACTGGCATCTAAAATTGTTTCAAGGCTTTTATTTTTTTTGCAAACTGAAAAAGACAGGAAATATTTTGCATTTTATATTTATAGAGCACGCTGGACTATGTGGGTAGTTTACTAAAAGAATAATAATAATCATCACATAATTTTTCTTAGAATGTGGGTACTTTTTGCCTAAATTATTGCAAGTTCATTGAGAACTCAACATAATGCTGTGCTGTGAAAATATATTCATATGAACATATAATTATATACCTATGTTTCTTTAACTGATGTCAATTAATTATTAATATAACTTAATTATAATGCTGAGTTTTAAATTGGGTTGACAAAGCATTCAAAATATTATAACAATTTAAGACCTACATAAACATCAGAGGAAGATGGTTCTGCTAACAGGAGTTTACAAATAGTAAAATTTACAAGTTGGTGCATCACTAATAAAAAGTGTGGCTATATTTTTCTACAAGAATGTAAAGAAAAAATCACATATTAACAATACTTCAAACTGGTATCAATTAATTCCAGATACCCATCTGTCATACCAATTTATTCCAGGTGAAGATTCGCATTTTAGAGCGTTTGTGAATTTCCTAGCACAGCTGTGTCATTTGCACTGCCCATGTATAAATGTCTTTATTATGCATTGTTTAACTATTATGTTTGTATAAATTATAAAGCAACTCCAGAGTATAGTCACTGTTGTCTAACTTGTTATATAGGGTGATTCATTCTGAAACACTTTGAACTCAAGAGTGATGTACAACAGTGTCATGCATAGAAAAGTTATGCTATTGTGGGGCAATGTTCTAAAAGTGGGGTAGTCACCATGGAAATCATGGTACCAGCAGAAACATTCCATTGGTTTGCAAGGTGATTACTTCACTTTCAGAATATTGCAGAATGGTCACATTGTATAGATATTTCCTCCCTTCTATTCTGTTTCAATAATTCTAAAATATATGCTTTTAGAGAGAGAGAGAGAGAGAGAGAGAGAGAGAGAGAGATGTCCAACAACCAACCACTTTAAGCACTTCCTCTTTAAGATCTTTTTAAATTGAAGGTCTTCAGCACAGCATGATGTCACCAATTACAGCTAATGCTTCACACAGAGAAGCACTGGATTCATTGCTTCTCTATAATTAGAATCTAATAGTCGAGCATTACTGTAGGTGTATAATGCCCATCTATGAGAAGCATCCTTGACCTTAGTGTAGGAGGATTGTGCTGCTGTGAGGAGTCTGTCCCAGAGGAGGTATAAAGGTGCGCCCAGTATTCTAATATAATAAAGTACTAAAATTCAAAATAAATATATTTATTTAGATTGTTGTTCATCACTATTTGGGAAACCACAGCAGTAGATTATACGAAGTGGTTCTGTAACACAATACGTTCATTGGATAAACATGACATCATAAATTTATTTTAAATTTGATTTTTGATTTTTTTAATGAGTATACATATACAAAATTAAGTGTTTTATTAGCACACATCATTCAATTCTACAAAAGTGTTTATTGCAGTGAGGAGTGCAATCTACATACATATGAAACACACTTATACTGCAGCACCTAACACCCACATCTTCCAGAGAAGCTCAAGAGCACCTGGGTGCCATATGCAGTCATGTGCCCACATGGCACCTGTTTGAATAGCATCATGAGGGTCAAGGCCATATGTATCCTATTCTCTAACAGCCCGGAATAGGAGGCAGACCAAAAACAACCTAACCCATATTGCAATACAATTGAAATTAAATTGTATACATCTATATACCTATACATAAATAAATAAATAAATAAATAAATAAACGAAAAATATATACAGACACACATTATATATATTTATAAACATACACACACATATGTACATGTATATATAAAATATATAGATGTTTGTGTTTTAGAAATGTTGAATATTACAGTATTATATATAATGTCATATAAATCCAAAATATGTAATGTGTATACCAATATCAAGCTAATATTACTAGCTCAATATTGGTATATTATATTAAACAAGTATATCCATTAACACATGTCGGTGTTCTTACCTGTTGTGCATCGGTGAGATGACCTGATCTCATACCGTGTCCCATATCTATCGCTCCTAAATGTGTTCCAGTGTCTGAAGTCCGGGGGCTGTGACTGCTTGTGCTGCACCCTAGATCCTGATGAGGGTAGGTCCCAGAAAAGTCTCTGTACATTGTCTGAGTCCTTACTCCTTCTAAGTCTCACTCACACTGACTCACACACCTCTGTGCCTGCTTCATTTTATGAATGGGGATTCCTAAGCATCAACTCTTTACAAGTAACAGGGAACATATCATAATTGCAAACTTTACGATGCGTTTTTCAATAGACCATTTGGCATCTAAAATAATCACATGTAAATCTATACGCTATAAAAATGTATAATTGATTATTATAAAATCCAACAGTTAATAATAATAACAGTTAATCAATAAAATAGAAATCGTCTTCCCCTATGCACAGATGGTACGGTCTACGACGCTTGAGGCTGTGACGTAGATACCCATATATGGCTTACTTCCTTTAGTGAAAGGAATCCCCTTGCTGTTGTTTAAGTCTTGCTATTTCCAGAATGGAAAGGAAATTGTAGGTAACATTCTATAGCTACAGATACACAGACAAAAATACTTCTGGGAAATGATGCTTGTTTATAAATGTAACGTTCCTATTTATTTGTTATCTACATATTTTACCATTAGTATTATTATTTTTTGTTTTGTTAAAGAGTTTATGGGAAATGGCTTTTGTTCCAAATTTTATTCACGCAGAATTTATGGGAAATCATTGATATGCTTTGTAATTCATGGCTAATTGTACTTCACTGAAAGGAAATATCAGTCAATAAATCTATTTATAATATGATGGTATGTGGTGAGCTTAGATGCTATTTATTTTATTTTAATTAAAATGCGAACTATATGAAATGTTCTATTGCATTCTAGTGGTTATGTGAAATAATTAATTGTTATTTTGTTGCTACATTAACATTCCCGTAGCTTTTAAGTTATGTATATTATGTATATTATTATTTTGAGTTTCTCTGTAATTTAAAGAGCAGCCAATTGCTTTGACTTGGTGCCAAAGATGAATCTAGCAATTACAGGGTACTTCTGTCTCCCCTCTCCCCCCCTCCCCCATTCTCCCCCCAAATACCCGCCTAATAAGAATAAAACTAATTTAAAGAATAAATTGTTCTTTTTATCAGTGGTATTAACATTGATCTTTATTAAACAACTTATTTCAATGTAGAAGTGCAGGGAGTGAATGATCAGCAGATATTGACCCATAAGGATATTGTTACATAAGGAGGTCAAATGTTGGAGCATTACCATATCATTGCTCTATCGGACTCTTAAGGTGATTTGTTTTTGCAGGTTTAATAGAAACATAGTATAGTTTTTTTCAGATTTCCCAATTAATACTGTCCTCGACTAGCTAACACAGTGACAGGAGTGTGAACTCTATTGAAATGGTTAATGAAGCCTTTTGTACCAGATTCCTGCCCAATGTGGGGGTTAATGTCGCAGTTCATTACTTCCCTCTGGGCAGGGGAAAGATAGGGGAAAACCTGCCAGTTTTAGAATTTGTCCCCCCCACCCCCTCCCAGGGAGGCCACTGGCAGGGAGCAGGTTAATAGGGTCTGGTGACGCTTTCTTTTTTATCATACTAAGTTCTTTCTTTCCCTGAAAACACTAATCCAACCCCCCCTCCCTAGTTTCCCTCTGTCACACTCTCAGGACCCCAAAGTTCCCAGCTGTCTCTCTGCGCTGTCTCACCCTCACGTGCGTCTGTCTAATTTCCCGTAAGTTGTGACTCAGCCCCCTGTCACCGCTAGGGGCGGGGCTCTATGTGCAGTGAGGGAGAGCAAGGCCTGCTTGCGTGTAGCCTCGCCTCGCCTCACGTTATGTACGGTAATAGGACATCGAGAGAGAGTTAGCAGTGTTCTATTCTAAAAAGTGGTCTGAAATACTGAAAGCGGGCAATCACCATGGAAACCAGTGTAAGCACCACATACGTTCCATTGATGATGACTTCTCCTTTTTTAACTGTTTTCACCACTTTTTTTTTTTTCATTAGAAAAGAACAATATGCTAAATCTTCTCTACGATGTTAGCAGTCACTGTATGAAAGTCATTTATTGCAATCTGTATTTACACAGAGTAATATGATTTGATAGGTAAAAGCAGTGGTTTTAGTTGTTAAGCTAAGGTCAGTTTATTTCTAAATTAGGGGTTCATTATATGGTTTTGCAGTTTATTCATATGCTTTTGTGGGCCATAAACATGCATACACAGATTTTTTTATTTTAAAATATGATTTACTAATAAAATGTGTATTATTATTTACGAATGCATTTTGTTTTCTAAATTTCCAGTTTCATTTTACTTGCTGGAACAAAGTAGTGCCTTTTTGAAATATAAATTTTAAGTTACATGTAATACAGGTTATTCAAATTTGAATTCAATTATATCTCGTTGTCTATGGGAAAGGGCTCAGTTGAGGTAAGATAAAAGTTTTATTTCAGAGGTGCACAGTCACTTGAGCCCTTTTCTGAATGTTTACATGGTGTGTTCAATAAAAACATGGCAACATTTCATTCTTTGTCTGTTATTAGTTTTAGCAGACTGTGATTGTCTATTGTTGTGACATAGATGATGATCAGATCACATTTTATGACCAATTTGTTCAGAAATCCATATCATTCCAAAGGGTTCACATACTTTTTCTTGCAACTGTAATGTAATGAAGCTCTTGGAATCAATGTTGGTTGAATACAGATTCTGCACAAGATGAGTTAATTGTTACGAATTCTCTAGTGAATAGGGTTAAATCAGCCTGTTTCAAATAAATTAAATTGTGAAGTGTCTGGAATTCCAAGGAAATTCCTAATTTTGGGACAAAATAACCAACATGGAAAAAAAGTCTCTGAAAGGGACACTGTAGACACTGTAATTGCTTCATCTTATTGAAGTGGTTAAGGTATGGAGACCCTGGCACAATCCTTCCATTCAGTTTAAACCCCTTTATTGCTATACAAGAGCATATCTCCCAAGTGCCCTTATGTAGGAGGGAAAATACATATTTTGGGCCTAATTCACTCCGTTCCTCTCTTCTATCCTAACGCAACTCTTTTCTAGGAGCTCTGTATTGTTGCTGTATTTAAATGTGTAAATGGAGCTCCACAGTAATAATAATCATAATAGTGTTTCTGTAAACTGCAATGACTGTGTTTAGAAATCAGTCTGGGTAAATACGACATATTGTTATTAATCAAAATGACATTATATTTGCATACATCGTTTCTACGAAGTCACCTATAATTTCAAGAACAGGTGACTTCCCAGCCCCTCCCCACTCCAAAACAGAAAAAAATGTAAGTGTTCCCTTTCTGCATTTGAAATATTGTGTGATATGTGAGAGTCTGTCCCCACTATGCTGCTTGGGCTAATGAGGAAGCATTTGCCTGCGCAGCAATTGGCACCTGTGATTGGTTGAGGGTGTCAGCTGACTGCTTTCAGTTAATGTCAGTGCACATTCAAGTATGAATCGATATGGCTAGAAAACCACTTGGGCCCCTCATTCAGTGTTGAATTGCTCGTAAATGGTTTAACACTGAATAGGCACTATAACCAATTTATTGAGATGAAATTAAATGTTTATAGTGCCTACAGTGTCCATTTAAGTCAGCAATGTTTCAGTTTGGCCATTTTTGTCTAAAATGTGAAATACACTTTAGTTTCTTAACATTTCACACTTCAGGGGTTTATTCATTAAACTCAGAATTATAGCAAATTGACATCTAAGTGGAAAAGTTGGGCTGAAAAAGTAAAATGTGACTATACTATAGTATAGTTATAATATAGTTATAGTCACATTTTGCTATACTATACAATACTTAGCTACATTGCTGCGCAGCTATGTCATTGACGCAGTACATCACTGGCTCCACCCCCAAAACGAATGCGGCTGGCGAAAACGGAGAATGCTGCCATCTGTGAGGGGACCAGTGTGGTAAAGGGGCATTTTTGACATACCCGCTGTTTTTAATAAGAAGTGAACTAAAATAAAGTTGTTATCTGATATCTCGGCTGTCCATCACTTTGTACAAGAAGCTGCAAGTCTGAGACACCAAGGAGTCAAGCAAAAGCGCAAAATATATTTTTTACAGTATTACACTATGTGTTTGTTTTTTTGTTACTTTTGCATATTGTGATGCCGGTTGGTCAAGTATTGTAAGTGAACTATTTCAATTTACACTACATTGGTACTTTGCACAATTCTTGCTTGCACAAATAATTATTTGATGCACAACAATTAGTAAGAACTTTCACTCGCTTTTAAAGGAATGCTATAGGGTCAGGAACACAAACATGTATTACTGACCCTATAGTGTTAAAAACCACCATTTAGGTGGCTTCCCCCCCCCTGTCCGGCTTAGAAGGGGTTAAAACATACCTGCCATGCAGGTCCCCCGATCCCTCTCCTTGGTGATATCATCAATATTTACAGGTTTGACGAATCAGCACTCTATGAGGAAAATTCAGCGTCTCCATGCAGAACATGGAAACGCTGAACGGCAATGCTGCCTACTGTGCAGCTCTGCCCCAGGAAGCACCTTCAGTAGCCACGTTCTCTGAAAAAGACAGTGCTGACATGAAAATGCCCATATTGAATGATTATACTCACCAGAACAAATACTTTAGGCTGTAGTTGTTCTGGTGACTATAGTGTCCCTTTAAGTCTAATGCACTTTATTGTAAATAAGCACCCTTTTTTTTCTTTGAAATTAATTTTGTATTGCATAAAATTTCTGTTGGCACACTTTGTAAAGGCACAGCACACTTTAATATTAGGATAATATTATTCGAGTGTTATTTTGAGTTAGGATACTTTTAAGGTGCTGTTAATTAAATTAATTATTTGTTGCTCTTTAAAAAAATAAAAATAAATAAATATATATATATATATATATATATATATATATATATACATATATATATATATATATATATTATAGTGCCATCTATACTTCTTTATGAGGTGTATCAAAATATGACTATAGCTGAGATTCTTCCAAATCCTTCAAGTTTGTTTCCAGATATTTTAGACTACATTTTGCAATTGGGATTTCAGCTTGTTGCAGTCAGCAGTTTAGTGAATAGCCCTGAAAACATCTGAATTATAATTCTGGGTGGAACTTGTTGCAGAGATGCAAACTGCCCAGTGA